CTATACTACCTGTAGTAAGAGCCTGTTGATTAGCTGTAGCAATAGAACCTGTACACGCGCCTGTCGTCCCTGCTCGTGAGCCCGTACCGTGACAGTGAACCTCTGTTTAATTTAGCGACATACTTAGCTTTACTGATCGCCATTAATTTCTAGGTGAATCAACCAGAGATTTAAATCCTAATACGGAAATCTTCGCTAGCGAATTCAATTACAACCGGGGGTGTTGTTTAGCTTCAGTTGTGGTTGAAATTTCTGTAGTATTTCTTCTGTAGCATCCACACCACCTTCCCTAAAAGACATAGCCGCCAGGAATAATTTAATTCCAGGCCCGATATCCAAATGCAACTCAAGAACTCCCACTGCCTTTACCGGCGCTGTCCAGTTGCGCCACGTGATCTGTCAAAGCTCTAATTGTAAGAGAAATATATCTTCAGCCATCATTGTCCCCACCAAACAACTTTTTCTTTACCGATCAAACTCGTCGGAAATCCTCCTGATTGGGTAAATACCTCTCGTTGAGTTATTAATCGAACTCAATTGTAACATTCGAAACCGGATAAGCCTTAGTTCGCCCGCCAAAGCTCCATGTGGCCTAGTTAGCGCCCTTTCCAGCAACTGAAACGGCAAAAGCAAAAATGCCATGGGTAGCGTGCATAGAAGATATACCAGAGCCATGGCTAGAATACTCCTAGATATTCTCTGGGGTGCAGGGGCTAGTGACCTGCATGTTAGGTAAATCAACCCGACGCGAGGATCGATGCGAGCAGCCTGCTTGCAGCCTGCAGAATGCATTCATCGACTTTAGATATATGTGTACATGTTACCGGGCGTATCCACGTCTCAAAATTTACGCCTCGGCCCTATCCCGTTCCTTTCCATCTGTTCGGCCCTTTCCAACCCCTACAACTCACATCGTATATTCTTTCCGCGTGAGTAGGTATTATGGTGTTGTGGAGACTGTTAGTATGTCGGACAGTACGGACATCGGATCACGGTAAACATCCGCTTTGAGAAATTCCCGTGCGACATGCTCCTAAACTGGATTTAGATGATTCCACCCAATCCAAGAAAACACTTACTGCCTCCTCAAGCTCGGCTATCTCGTCCTCTGGTACTTGACAGCATGCTGAGACAAGATCTTCCCCCCGTGCTGCAAGAAGTATAAGGTTTTCGGCACGCTGTACGATCTTAGATGGAACGCCATTCATGGCAGCACAACTAATGTCGGCATTAGTATCAACCTGCTACAAAGCACTGCACGAGCCTACCATGTGCCGAAACTCGAGGTGCTCCGACCTTCTCGGAAACTAGATATAGTTAGTACCTAGCAAGCGGCATGCATTAACACGTATTACTTGTATAGGTAGGTGATTTGATCATGAATTTTCTTCGCTTCAGTATCCACGCGCACTTCCATGTATCCGAATCCAAGTGTAGGTCGAGGTTTAAGTAGGTCCATCTCAAAGATTTCTAGACGCGTCAGAAAGTTTCGTAACCAGATTGTACTACTACCATACCATGAAAGTGCGTGGCTCCAATGACCTTTGGCCTTTCGCTGCCCAAGTTCAACAAGTATTCCATAACTGCGCAAGCTAAGCCGGCTCCGTCGCTTGATGCAGTGCCCTTGCCGAACTCGTCTATAAGTAGGAGGCTTCGGCGCGTGACTAGACTTAGAGCAAGCGAGATTTGCTGCAACTCAAGCATAAAAGAGCTTTGGTGATGAGACACCGTCTCGCGCGTAGTAACTCGGGAGAGGATCTTGTCCGTCAGCCCGATCCGTGCACTGTCTGCCGGCACAAAGCCCCCAACGTGCGCCATATAGACAGTCAAAGCAACCTGCTTGAGATAAACGCTCTTTCCTGAGTAGTTGGGACCAGTTAAGATGAGCATACTCGCATTGTTTTCGGAGGTATGCGCTTGGCGGATTTTTGGACTGGTAAACAGACGGTCGTCATGTTGCTCACTTGCGATTTCTCCGTCGCCCTCGCCTCCTTTCATTGCAGTATCATTCGCGACGAAGGAAGGTACCAAAAGCTCTTGGAGCATATGACTGGTGATATCAGTAACAAAACGACTCATCCCATGTATCTTAACTCACCGTCCTCCCTTGATGCGTATAGTATTTTCGTTTGTAATCTCGGGACGGCAAAGCTTATAGATCTTGGCAGCCTGAGCTAAGGCCAGTAAACTGTCAAGCTCTCCGCAAACATCAGAACAGGCAGTCAAGAGCTCTTCGTACTGGAGCAAATACTGGGCTAGTTCATGGCTGATCTCAATTTCTCGATCTGCAATGATGCCATAAACGTCGCCAAAGTGTTCATCCATTTCTCTCGTTTCGCTGTTCTTAAAGTAAACCTGCTCTTCCGTTGCAAACATTCTCTCCCAAGGATGGTCGAGACTGCCATCGTAAACCGCACCGCCCGTGTCTGGATCGATTGGTGTTGTACAGAGAAAACCTATCTGAGGGAAGTAGATTACATTCAGAGTAGCACCTGACTAAATTAGTAACTCTTTGCTGCGTCGACTTGGAGAGCCTCTTCCAAGTAAAAGGTATCACCTACGCAGATCAGAAGGCATCTTCTCGGATAATTTTCTCGCAACTTGATTGAGAAGGTAATCAAGACTATCCAGGGTCAGCTTCATCTGGTCTAACTCTTCGTCAATACCAGGCATGATGACAGTGCGACCTTCTTCTGCGGAGCCAGCTAAGTCAATAGTTTCACTGATCTTTCGCCCGATCTGAGCCAAGTGGTAACCTTCGAGCTTTTCAAAGACCTGTAGCAATCAGTAAAGAGGCTGTAGTCAAACGCCATTGATATAGAGTAGAAAGGTAGTCACATCTAGTTATCTCTTGTGAGCGCTTACCTTATTTCTGATGACTATGTGTTCTCCGCCGATAACATCCTGGAGTGCGTCTTTGATCTTCAGGGCATGGAAAGCAAACTGCCACAATCAGTTCATTAAAGAAAGGCACTGACATGATGAATGTTTTGTACATACCGCTCGGATAGATGTCCAGATACTCTTGGCAAATCCTCCATTCCCTCTTGTCGAGCTGTTTGCTCCTTTTCTAAGATTGACCATCATGACGCGCATATTGCCCAGGTTCTTCAGGTTTTTGACAAGCGCTTGTAGGGCTGGCTCGTTGTCAGGACGAGTGAAGATACTGACGGTATCCAGTCTCTCATTGATGACGTCCAAATTTAGGCTTGGGCGTAGAAATTGCTGTCTTAAAAGGAACCTCCCTTGTTGTGTTCGTGCTAGATGATGATATAGGCCATATATAGAAAGACCTTCTTTTTCGCCTGAGCTGGCCTTGGTCGGACCTTTGTTATGTGAGTGCGGATGTGATTCAGCGCCTATGATCTGCAAGGAATGAAGAGTATCGGTGTTGATGAACATGGTCTCGCGAAGACTGCACATTTCTAGTTTCGAGATGCGGAACATGAGATCTGCGGAACGATCATCGGGGAGGTACGCTGTTGCTCGTCGACGTTGTAGATATGAGATCAGTGCTCCAGCGCATCCGACCTGTTCGATTCAGTAAATACTACGGGGTTGTGCAACAAGCCAGTAAGTACCGTTGAGTGGCTCTCAAGATCAATCCACCCTGCAAGTCGGAGAAGTTGCCCTTGCTGACCTGCTGATTGGTCTTTTCCCGGATGGCCTACAGTGGCAAGCTCTCCGGGAACGTTGAATTCGATGTGGGTACCATCGTCTTTTCCCAAATGAAGGCTTGCAAGCTTGTTCTTTGCAGAATTGTAGTTGAACTCGCTCGGTGGTCTGACTTCAAGCAGAAATGGAAGGCGGAATTGGTCATTGTCGCCACTCTTGGCATCAGGGTCAAGACAGTCAATCACTCTGTCATCGGTCTTGGTGGAGACCAGGATGACTGTAGGATTGACGTATATCCTCACTTGACACAGTAAGCAAGACTGAGGTATGTCAGTTTACAAAGCACCTACAAGAGTCGACAACATCAACATGGCCATACTGTATATCCTCCATGAAGTAAAGTCTTTCTTCAGAAGCAATATAGTAACAGCAACCCACTGTTCCGCGAGTATTCAAGTCGACAGCCATGACGATTTCATTCAGCATGTCATCGTTCTCGTCGACATGATGACTGGCTTCAGAAGGCGCGTCAAGGGACGACGTGTCGTCCAGGAACGGCCCTCTATGGATCTGGACGTGGGGTCTACTTGTTGCAGACCGCGCAGTTGGAGCCGCCCGCACGGAAGAGCGCCATGATGTGGCGGTAGAGCCGGATGTACCACGAGTGTTCTCACGAGAATTGCTGTTCGAGGAAGTGCTACTACGACCGCCTGTGTGCCGATAGGGAAGCTTGAAGGGAGGCCGGCGTGGCATGACTATGTATAGCTGTAGAATTAATAACAGTTGTGTGTTGTGAGTTGTCAGAGGTGAGAGACGGTGGGTAGACTGACATGCGAAGAGGAAGGAGCGGAAGCACGCCTGCCTCTAGCGACGTACAAGAACACAACTTTGAGCAGGGTATCATTGTCATTATTGCAATCTACAGAGAAAAGAGATTTTTACCTACAAACGCCAATTATGCTACACCATATACATGCAATGGTCCTTCTGGAGTCTGTTTTACAATCATGTCGTCGTTAGTCATACAGCATCATGCCGCGGCAGAGACCGCAAGGCCTGCACCACCTTCTTTGATCGAGACGATGGCCTTGTCACCACTGCGAATCTCACCACGGATCAACTTGTCTGCTAGACTGTTGCCAATCTCTCTAGCAATCAGTCTGTTCAAGGGTCGTGCACCAAACTTTGGATCGTATCCTCGGTCGCATAGCCATTGTTTGGCCTCGTCCGGGCACTCGAGAACAATCCTACGGTCATCTAGTCGCTGCTGAAGCTCTTTCAGACGTATATCGACAATGTCTCTAAGCGCTTCTCGAGATAGACGGCGGAAAATGATGAATTCATCGAGGCGGTTAAGGAACTCAGGTGGGTATGTAGCAGCAACAACATCCATGACGGCGCTGCGCACTGCGGGCGAGATCTCGCTTGAGTCCTTGTTGACGGAGTGAATGGCATCGTCACCAACAATGATGTCAGCCCCAAGGTTAGATGTCATGACAATGATGGTGTTGCGGAAGTCCACCTTGTGGCCCTGTGCATCCGTCAGGAAACCCTCATCGAGGACTTGGAGGAGCAAGGTCGATATATCCTTGTGGGCCTTCTCCCACTCATCGAAGAGGAGAACGGCGTATGGCTTTCGTCGCACAGCTTCAGTAAGCTGGCCAGCATCCTCGTACCCAACATAGCCGGCAGGAGACCCAATAAGACGCGACACAGTGTGCTTCTCACTGAATTCGCTCATGTCGAAACGAATTACAGCTTGCGGTGTGCTGAACAGATATTCTGCGAGTCTCTTGCAAACCTCGGTCTTTCCTACACCCGTTGGTCCCAGCATCATAAAGGATGCAATAGGCCTGTTCTCGCCAGACAGTCCAGCTCTCTGAAGACGGATCGCATTTGCAACAGATGTCAAGGCCTCGTCCTGGCCCTTGACGTATTGGCGCAAGGTGTCCTCCATGTGTATGAGCTTCTCGCTTTCTCCGGAATTGAGCTTGGATAGTGGAATGCCAGTTGTCCGGGAGACAACAGATGCAATGTCGTCCGCCGTAACGGAATCGTGTAACAAGGAGCCCTGGCGGCTGGCTCCTGCAGTCACTTCCTCGTCTCTGGGAAGTTTTTGTTCCAGCTCTGGGATCCTGCTGTATTGCAGTTCACCAGCTTTGGCAAAGTTTCCTTCGCGGCGGGCTTGTTCGAGTTCAAGCTTTGCACGCTCGAGATTCTCTTGTGCGTTCTTGATAGCTTCGAGCTCTGCTCGCTCCTTCTCCCACTTCTCAGTCAGCACCTTTACTTCTTCTCGCTTTTGTTTGAGCGTCTCCTCAAGGCGCTCCCGTCGCTCCTTGCTAGCGATGTCGGTCTCCTTGCGGAGTGACTCTAGCTCGATCTGAATAGTCATGATCTGGCGATCCAGCTCCTGGATTGCATCTGGCTTGCTCTCTTGCTGCAGACGTAGCGCACTAGCAGCCTCGTCTACCAGGTCAATTGCTTTGTCAGGCAGGAAACGGTCGGTGATGTACCGATTGCTGTAGGAAGCGGCGGCGACCAAAGCGTTGTCGGTGATGCGCACACCGTGATGGACCTCGTATCGCTCCTTGATGCCACGAAGTATGGAGATTGTGTCTTGAACCGTGGGTTCGCCAACAATGATAGGCTGGAATCGTCTTGCCAGCGCTGCGTCCTTTTCGATCTGGCGGTATTCATTAAGGGTGGTTGCTCCGCAAAGCTGCAGCTCTCCGCGGCTAAGCGCAGGCTTCAAGAGATTGCTGGCATCGATACTACCCTCTGCCTTGCCCAAGCCCAACAGGGTGTGTAATTCGTCCACGAACAGAATGACGCCCTTGTTGGCCTCCTCGACCTCCTTCAACACACTCTTCAATCGCTCTTCGAAATCGCCTCGGAATTTTGCACCAGCGATGAGAGAGCCGAGATCAAGGGAGATGACGCGTTTCTCTTGTATCGATTCAGGCACATCCCCCTTAACAATGCGCTGGGCTAGACCTTCGAGAATGGCTGTCTTTCCTGTTCCAGCCTTTCCGATCAAGACGGGGTTGTTCTTGGTTCGTCGCGATAAAATCTGGATTGTGCGCTGTATCTCGCCATCTCGCCCTATAACGGGATCTAACTTGCCATCGCGCGCGCGCTGTGTGAGGTCTATTCCGTACTGCTCCAACGCAGGCTTCTCCGGCTCACCACCAAGGTTCATGCGATGCGTGCCACCAGGAGGATGCGGCCGACCCCCGTTCGCATACCCCCGGCAAGACACCAGCGGCCTCAGGATCCTGTGTTGCTGGGGCGGCAAGGCCACCGATGTGTTGAGGCATAATGGCGGCGAAGTGCGAAGGGGAAGTGGCCGTGCGATGGAGGAGGGGGACGCGATGCGCCTTGCGGCTATTCGTGCTCTACCGGTTAGCATTTTGACATGTATGGATTTCAGAATACGAGCAAGCTCAATTGGGAGGCAGATGGAGATGGCATAATATAGTATTGGTCAATGGATGGCGCGAGCTCAGGCGAGGGCGAGGGCGAAAATGCGCGGTGATTCGATGAGCTTCCACGTCTAGCAGCGGCGGGCCAGGCCAACGACGGCACGAGTTCTACAGACAAAGCCCAAGGGCAGAGGGAAAAAACATGAGGCGGGGGTGACGACAGCACTAAGGGCCGAGGTGCATAAGAGGCCACGAGCGGTTATGCGAGCATGGTGAAGGATGTGCCCCTCGATCATGGTCGAGCACGTACTAGCGCGGGGCCGTGCGTCCGAAAGCAATCTCCTCCCAGCCCCAGGCTGTAAAAAAACTTTGACTCCTCCTTCAACCACAACTCTTCGATTCTTTCCTCCCAATACGCACATTTCATTCCTGCAAACATGGGCTTCACCGACCTCGTTTCCGATGCGGGCTTGACCCTCCTCAACAGCTATGTGAGGACGCGCTCCTACATTGTTGGGTAAGTTGCTACCCCACCATGCACACTGTGTACTTTCCCTCTGCATCGCCTTCCATCCCTGCCCACCACTCGAATGATGAGAACATTTGGTCCGTGTTAATGAGGCGGCTTAAGACCCCGCTATCTGAATACAAACCCAAGCGCTTGTCGCACCTCTGATCTAGCTGTTGTTTCTGCTGCATTGCTCTCAGACGGCATTGGCGAGTCATCGACTAACATGCCACAGCTACTCCCCATCGCAGGCCGATGTCAAGGTCTTCCAGCAAATCAAGGAGATTCCTGCCCCCGAGAAGTACCCATACGCATGGCGCTGGTACAACCACATCCTCACCTTCCAGGGTGAGTTCGACTCGCTCCCTGGCGACCCAACCAAGGAGTTCACTGCCTACGGCCCCGAGTCTTCAGAGCTGCCCCTGAACCCCGCCAAGGCCCCTGAGAAGGAGGCTGAGGATGACGAGGACATCGACTTGTTCGGCAGTGACGACGAGGAGGAGGATGCCGAGGCCGCCAGGATCAAGGAGGAACGTCTGGCCGAGTACAACAAGAAGAAGGCCGGCAAGACCAAGCCTGCTGCCAAGTCCATTGTCACCCTTGACGTTAAGCCATGGGGTAAGTTTCTGACGGTGCCCTTTTTGCCATTGACGGCGCTGACAAGTTGTAGATGACGAGACAAACATGGACGAGCTCAAGGCCAACGTTCTCTCCATTGAGAAGGACGGTCTTGTCTGGGGTGCCTCCAAGTTGGTTGCTGTCGGTTTCGGTATCAAGAAGCTCCAGATCAACTTGGTCGTCGAGGACGAGAAGGTCTCGCTAGACGAGCTCCAGCAACAGATTGAGGAGTTTGAGGACCACGTTCAGTCCACCGACATTGTTGCCATGCAGAAGTTGTAGACGACTGCCGCTAGGTGCTTTGATGACTATTTGACGAAGAGTATGCATGATCATGACGGTAGGGTTTGGGCTCGGTTCACGGTTTGATGTCTTTATGAGCAGTCGCTAGACGAGAGCCAAAATAACGACATGGTAGAGATACCACTTCCCACTGCGGGACAAGGACATGAATTTTGCCACAGACTTGCACTTGTGATGGGATTGGTTATGTGTTGATCATCTGATCGATCAATTTCCGTATCCTTGGCATGATTACAAGGACCTGGTTCCTTTGCTGTCCATCTCAAGATCTGAGCTGCTACATATACTACATATGCTGTAGTCTAGAGGACGGTATTTGACTGCACAGTGTGGGATGCAGAAACAAGGATAGCCAATGTTTAATTCGGGATGCGTGCTAGCTCTTCAAGGCTTAGTGCTGCCGGCAGTTGGACCCTGCATGTACAATGGCCGCTACCTGATTCTAGATGCGCATGTCTTTTTCTATCCACTTTGTATGTGTGCATGCTTCCAGCCTCCTACTGTCTTCTTGGCCAAGTGCTGTACTGCGTATGTCCATTCTGACTGGCCTGTCTGAGCGTTTCGCCCAATCACCCCATGTCGCATGTTAAGCGCTCTCGCGCCACGGATCGTAGTAGCCACAGGCCAACTGTTGGCTGTGGTGCTGCCTTGTTTCACAGCGCCGATCATTAACCCCTGGCCTTGATGGCATTACACCCTCGCCAATGTGACTTGATTTAGATTGAGATATACGACCCTGGCGCTTGATGATGACATAGGATGAGGCTGTGCGCTCTCTGGTGGTGTATAGCGGCTTTGGGCATGTTCCTTTCACCACCGTTGCTTCATCTTACGCTCTTTCCACACTCTTTTCTCTTTGTTGGTGGCTCTTGACGACATCGCATCGTTATTTGCAGGACACCAATCAACGCGCGCGTGTCTATTTGAGACTGCACTTGTTTATAGCACTGCGACTGCGATCCGGTCGTTCCTTACGACTTGCTCTCCTGGATACGAGAGGCAAAAGTAGAGTCAAGAAACAACAAGAGAAGGGAAACGCACAGAACACAAAGCCACAATGTCGCTGGACTGCTCGAAAATCCCGGATACTACCAACACGGATGCTGGAGTTGCGGGTGCAGGCGTAAGCAACTTCCATTCTTCCCTTTCGCATCAATCCACGTCCAACTAACACTCACTCATAGACCCTCTTATCCTTCATAATCACAAACATCCTCTCTATCCTCCTCTCCGCCACCATCATCCTGCTCGGCCTCCGAAAATCCACATCGGCACCGATATCGCGCAAGCTGCTGCAATCCTTCTCAGACCAGCAGATCCTCACCGGCATCGGCATACAATCCGTCGGGCTGGCCAAAATGAACACAATGGTGCCTTACCACTTCTTCATCATCTGGCTCTTGTCGTTACTCTCCACCGCGACAAACCTTGCCACGCTGCTCGCCCTCGTCAACGACTTCAAGCGCGATTGGGTGCTCCGCTGGATACGACAGTTTCTCATGTTCGTCAACATGTCGCTTGGGATCCTCTCTGGTATCTTCATCTTGCAGACCGTCATGAAGAATATGTCGCCCAGACTCCCTATCGCGTGTGTCTGGCATGTGGAGAGCAAGGGGTCGTCTGACAACGCTGCACTGAGTATCGCGGGCACCATTGCTGTTATCGCCGGCCAGGTTATTACGTTTGGATTCGCAACTTGGTATCTACACAATCGGTCTAACCCGCGCTGGCTCAAGACCGTGCAAGTCATTGGACTCTTTGCGTGTCTTGCAATGGGTATCGGCGCAACGACACGGGTAGTCCTTGAGTCACAGGCGTTTGGCTCGCCTCCAGAGGCTATTCATCTTGTTGGGCCCAGCGAGGGCAACTGGAGTTTTGGGCAGTTGCTTCCGTTGCTGCTACTTGTGCTGCCAATTATTAGTACTGTGGAGATTGCGAGAGGAGAGGAACTCAAGCCGAAGAGTAAGGTGGATGATGATACCACGCCGCTTTTTGCGAATGGCTCCGATATGGAGTTCCAGCCCAACCCGCTGGTGGGCTCAGGGAATACATTGTTTAGGAAGTAAATATCGTATAGGCATGTACGATGTAGGGAGATAAATATGCATAGATGAGAATATATGATGACTTAAATGCTTACATCTGTTTGGCGTATGGCGAATCTGATAATTTTTCTCAGAAAAAAATGGAAGCCCACACCCCAAAGTGTACTACTTCCTGGCTCCCGGGTATTCACCTACGGGTATCCATCTGAACTATTCTGTAGCAATTCCGTAGCCACATTGCGAGACTACTCCCGAGAACTCTTAGTCTACCTCAAAGCCATCCCGGGATGCAGAGAGCGTCCAATCATATTCATCTGTCATAGTCTCGGAGGTATAGTCTGTAAGCAGGTGAGCAACTTGATGATACTGGGGCGATGCAATTCTGATCTCTCTCGAGGCTCTTGTCCTGGCGCATGAGGATGATCGCCAGTATGCCGACATACTCAATGCCACTTCAGCTATTATCTTCTTCGGAACTCCACATCGTGGCTCCGAAGGAGCCAATATTGGTAAAGTCGTCGCAAGAGTAGTCAATATGTGTTTGCGAGCATCACAAACTGCTGGCTTGGCTGGGACAGTAAGAGATGACCTTCTCACCACTTTGGGATCCAATTCTCAAACGCTGAGTGACCTCGCGGTCTCCTCCCGAAACTGTCTGAGATACTTGGAGATCGTGACCTTCTTTGAGAGAGAAAGGATGCCTGGGCTCTCTAAACTGGTACATTTGTCCACAGGGCTTGCTTCCCCACGCACCAATGGCTAACCCGTCTCCTAATATAGGTCGTTGATGAACATTCCGCCATCATGCAGATACCCGGCGAGAAGATCATACCACTTAACGCAAACCACAGAACTATGTGCCGTTTTGGAGATGCAACAGATGGAGGGTATCAACACGTCTTGACGGCCCTCAAGCGGTTAGCCAAAATAGCTCTCTTGGGCAAAAAGGTGGCAACAAAAGCGGATCACTTGTCTTCTAATCAGTATATGTAATGATGATAAGGACACGACAAAAACCCTTGCTAAGCGATATCAGCTATGAGCGAAACAGAGAAATCCTGCATGGTTCTTCTCAACTCCATCTATCTCACAGAATACAAAGCACAATTACCGAGGCCTGTACAAGGCACCTGCAGCTGGGTTCTCAAGCACCCTGCATATCTGGCCTGGCTAGGAGCCAAGGAAACAAGATTACTCTGGATCACAGGCGAACCGGGCTGTGGCAAAACGATGATCTCGGCTTATTTGACCGATCATCTAAGACTGAATGAGGCTACCGGCCCCAAACCTAAAGTCTTCTTCTTTTTCTACGACGACAAAATCAAAGCGCAGCGAGATGCAAACGCCATATTTCGAGGCATTCTTTACCAAATCGTAAAACAACATCGAAAGCTCATCAGGCACGTAAAGAGTCGATTCGAACTGGATGGGCCCAGTCTCGCAATCTCATTTCCCGCACTTTGGGAGCTCTTTTTGAAAGTAGTTGCTGAATCGACACCGGGCACTGTCGGAGTCATAGTGGATGCAATTGACGAGTGTGAAATCAGGACCCGCAATAGCTTCCTTAAGGCCGTGAATCAGTTGGTAAACGAGCGCAAGGAAACACATCAACGAGACCGCAACTGCATCAAGTTTCTGATTACCAGCCACCCTTCGCTTGATAATTCGCATCATCTCACGGAGATGATGGAAAACAGACTACCAATCGAGCAAAACCAAGTCGTGGTCGGCGATGACGTGAGGTTGGTCATTCGAAGCAGGATTGGCGAAATTGCGAATAAATTCCAGTGCGACAACGAGATTAAGCAATATCTGGAAGAAAGGCTTTACACAAAGTCTGACCAGAGTTTTCTCTGGTTGAGCATGATACTTCAAAGTCTTGAAAGAAGCCCAAGGGCATTAAAGAGAGACTTTGAGAAAATTATTAACACATTTCCTTAAAACCTTAAGGCTACTTCTAGCAAGTTCCTGAGCGTTATTCTACTTAAGGATTAAGAAGACGCTAGAAAGTTTATGCGCCTGCTTATTAGAGCTTTAAGACACTTGACGTTAACAGAATTAAACACTACCTTTACTATTGATTAGTAGCATAAGTCTATTGCTGATTTAGTAGATAACCTACAACTATCTATACACTTAATGCTACAAGACATTATAAAGTCCTTCGTCTGCATTAAATAACTAGATTGTAATTTAAACGACGATCCTATTGTCTTACTTATACACTAGTCTACTAAGGAATACCTTACTAACCAAGAACTCTATTCTACAGACAAGTTAGTACAAAATCTGGCGGTCTCCTTAGTAAATGCAGCGATCGACATGTCCCAATTATGCATACAATACCTTCTAATAGATAAGTTTAAGACAGATCTATTTGCACCAGAAAAGACGAGCGTTGAAAGCAGTTCGCCCAATTCATCTCGTATCTTACCCTCTATAGATAATGAGGAGACGGACTGGGACGGCACCCTCAGTCTAGACAATTATCTTGGCCTTGACAGCTTCTTTAGGGACTTATAGGAATTGGAAGAGGCACAATGCGCGCTAATTGCACAGAGATTTGAATTCTTTGATTACTCTGCAATCTGAGCAGAGTATTGCTTGCTCTGTGAAGATGCTGCTCTAAAGTCTATGCAGGATGCTATCTGCCAGCTAACAGCGAGCTCTAGCTGCGCCTTAATTAACTAGCTAAAATTCTACTAGATCAAAAACAATATTAATTACTCATTCCTAGATACTTTTAAAACTATTAAGGTAGCTGCGTTCTTTAACTTAACCTTATTACGTGCTAGGGTCCTAGAAAAAGTACGTCTCAGAAGTGAGACAAAGGTCCAGGCTTTATTCTAGGTAGCGAGAATGTCCTCCCCTAATTGTACAAAGTGTTACACGGGGTTGGGATCTATACTTCTCTTGCCGGGTCCCACACTAAGGCCGGTGAGCTTTACGCTAGTGTTCCGTGAAAGTTGTCTG